TTAAATAAAAAAAATTTATGTTGGCTATAAAAATAGCCTAAATACCCTATCGGTAGTATAGCTATATCGGTATCGGCATTATTGCTTTTATTATAATCGTTCTTATAAGGGCATTATAAGTATTATAAAGCAAGTATATCCCTGACGGTACATTCAGACCCGTCTTTAAACATGTCCATCCTAGACCACTGCTGCGGGGCCATAGCATTTGGAGAGGCAAGCTAGAAAGAAATCAATTTATTTTCGGTTTAAAAATCTATTAAAATCGATTTTAAAATCTTCACTTTGAAACTTTAAACGGAAAAAAATATCACCTAGGTACGGCTGTTTTAATCCAAAGCACAAATACAAGAAGATTTAACAAAGTAAATATAATGATTTAAACAGTTGAAGTTGTTTTAGAGTGGAATGAGCTGTAAAGCTCTCTTTCTTTTTTCGTTCGAAAAGGTTTAATCTATTTTCGTCAAATTTGGAAAGAACTTATGCTATTGGTGCACCAACAAACACTTTGCTGCTGTGCAAATCCAAGATTCTTCATTCCTCTAAATCATCGTCCTGGATACGCCACTGCTCTGCTGAGACTTAACGACTTATTGTCTATTGAGGCACAGGACTTCACTTTAGGGAGAGAAAAAAAGATTGTTGAGGTTAATCTAATCAATCGACTTTTATTTGAGCTTGAAAGGCAAAGGCTTAGATGGTTAGAGTCGATAACAAAAGTTTATATGAACCAAAAACTATAACTCAAGAGTTTAACAAATATTTTACTCATATAGGACCAACACTGTCTAAAAAATTCCCTAAGACCAAATCTTTGTTTACTGACTATCTAGAACCCCTGGATAATTACATTTCTTCAGATGAGTTTTCTTCTGAATTAATGTTTGATGAGTTTGAAAGAGCCTTTAAATCTGTTAAAAAAAAATAAAGCAATTGGAGCAGATCAATTTAATGGAAACGTGGTTTTAGATTGCTTTGAACAACTTAAAGTTGTTCTTTTTAAAATCTTTAGGGCTTTTATCCATCAAGGAGTATTCCCAGAACAATTAAAAATTGCAAAAACTATTCATATTTTTAAAGAAGGGGACAAATCTGAAATCAGTAATTATCGCCCTATCTCTGTTCTCTCCACATTTTCGAAAATTTTAGAAAAAGTTATGTTTAACAGAATATACAAATATTTTCATGATAATAATCTACTTTACATCAATCCATTTGGTTTCAAGAAAAATAACTCAACTCAGTGGCGGATTAAGACTTCTTTGGGCCCGGGGCTTTTTTTGTTTTTGCAGGCCTTTTTATGGGCCAGAGCCTAAAAATGACTTTAAAAAAAAAAAAAAAAAGGTCCTCTAAAATTTGCGGGGGCTCCAAAATTAACAGGGCCCGGAGCTATAGTCCCCCCTAGGTTATATAAGCTATAGTATATATAGGCTATAGTCCCCCCTAGTTAGGGGGGACTATAGCACTGACTCAACTGAACATGTAGTTATCCAATTTGCACGTGAAATCGAAAAATCATTCGAAAAATCACAGTATACACTAGGAATTTTTATTGACCTATTAAAAGCTTTTGATACGGTCGATCACCATATTTTAATTTATTAACTCAAATACAACGGAATAAAAATAAAAATTTTAAAATGGTTTAAAAGTTATCTATCTAACCGAAAGCAATATGTACCATTTAACAATTATTACCAACCCACTTTTCTTGATATAACCTGTGGAGTCCCACAAGGTTCAATTCTTGGACCTCTTCTTTTTTTAATTTATATATATGACTTAAATAAAGCTTCAAAACTAACAAGCATTATGTATGCAGATGATACAAACTTATTCCTTTCTAACTATGATATCGATGAACTATTTAAAACAGTGAACAAAGAACTCAGACATATATATCTAATTGGTTCAAGTGTAATTAGTTAACCTTAAATACTAATAAAACAAAATGAGTTTTAATTCATTCGATTACAAAAAAGCGATTTCTCCAATCAAAATTACCTCAAATCTTTATCGATCAAAAGGAAATAAAAAGAGATTTTGTTACAAAATTTTTAGGTGTTTATCTTGATGAAAACACTTGGAATCACCATAATGATTATATAAGCTCAAAAATTTCTAATAACATGGGCATCCTATATAAATCACAAATCTATCTCAATTAGAAAGTCTTAATCCAACTTTATTATTCATTTATACATAGTTATTTAAATTATGCCAATATTGCTTGGGGAAGTACAGAAAAAAGTTAGTTGCAACGTCTTTATCTCTGTCAGAAACGCGCAATCCGTATAATCAATTTTGCAAATCGCTTCTCTCATTCGAAGCATTATTTTATTGAAATAAGAATTCTGAATATTTACGAGTTGAATGTATTTAATATTTTATGTTTTGTGTATATGTGGATAAATAACACATCCCTAGCCGTATTCAAAGATCTTTTCTCTTTTAAACCAGTCAGTAAATATATTTTGAGAAATAATAACTTTTTAAATGAACCTTTTTGTTAAACAAACTTTAATCAATTTTGTATTACCTATCGAGCGCCACACCTTTGGAATAAAATTGTTTTGGCGAATTTTAATTTTGAAGTACCTATTACTTTTTGCCTATTTTAAAAAAAACTGAAAAAACTCATTTTTTCATTAGATAATATATTGAGTTATTATTAGTTGTAAAAGTTAAAAATAGATATATATATTTTGTAAAAGTTTATTAATTTTTTTTTTCTATCTTATATTTGTTAAATGCTTTTTTTAAGGTTTTGACGACAAGATCCTTGCGATATTCTTTCAGATACCTTGTTTATGTTTGTTATGTTTTATGCCATTGTAAGTTTATATTATTATTTTTATTATGGGCTGTACAACGATTAACAAATGTAAATCAAAAAAAAAAAAAAAAAGCTAGTTTATGCTTTACTAATCAGAAAAAAAAATTATTTTAGAAAGGGAAGGAGGAGAGAGTTTTTAAAGGACGCATCTGTTATTTCGCAATGGGGATAAACTTAAGACGGTACTTTAGTTCAACCCAAAAAAAAGTTAACAATTATTGTAATAATTGTTAAGTATTTTTACACTTTTTTTTGCGGGGGGTGGGGGGGTTGTCCGATATTTATGGCAGCCCTAAAGTATGTCAACTTGAGTCTCAAATAAAGCGTATTTTCATAGATTTTAAATGTATCAAGAATCTCTTAAAATGTTGTTTAAATTTAAATTCATTTTTAATCGAGTTTAAATTTATTTTTACTAATTAACCAATGTTCTTAAATTTAAACTTAAAAAAAAATGTTGCTATAGTAATTGCAAAAGTAGTTAAGTATATATAAAAGCTGCTCTTTTGATACATTTATACTTTCTTGGTTATTTTAGTTAAGAATATAAACGAATGATTTCTCATTTGTTTATAATTTAACTCTAACTTTTGCGCAAAAGATACGCTTAACTTGTGCATAAAATCTATAGATTTTTTGCGTCCTTAACTTGACGCACACTGTAAAATGTTACAAACACTGTAAAATGTTTGGGAGTACCAAATTGTTACGAAAAAATAAATTTGAGTACGTTTTCCATAAGTTTCGCAAAAGTTAACAAAAGCTTTGTGAATCCGCACCCAGAAGTTTGTTTATCTTAAAGTTTTTATTCACATTTTTAAATCACGCTTTTCAAAAAATTAAGCAAACGTGTTTTTTTTAACGTTGTTTTTTAAAAGCGCGTTAGTTTTTTTTTCAATTTTTATATCATTAAAGAATTGTTTTGGTTATTTAAAACTAATTAACTTTTGTTCTTTTCATGATATAATCATAATAAAACCACATTTTAGAAAGAAAATATTATTTATGTTGGTAATTTTTTTAACTTAAAGTTCAGTTTGAAATTTCGATCGAAGTGCCTATTCAAGAAAAGTACTTTGATAAATAAATAATTTAGATCTGAAATGTTTTTTTTGTTTGTTGTTGTTGTTGTTGTTGTTGTTTAAACGTCCAAAAGCATAACTCTTGAACAATTTAAATTGTTCTTTTGTACGTAAAAACCTACAAAAATATCGACCTTCTAAGATGTTCTACAAAATAAACATCTACTAAAAAGTGGAACTAATTTTTCAGAAAATCTACTGAGGCCTAAATTGTTTTTAACTAATTACAGCCTTTTATTTTCAACCGATTTATGTTGTTTTTGTTTTCGACCGATTTATTTTTCGACCTATTCAAGAGATTTTCATTTACATCCAATTAAAGATAAAATAAATTTCAACCGATTATCTGATCTATGCTTTTAACGCTGTTTTTTTTTAAACTAAGAAGTTTTTTTTTTTTAATTAACAATTAATAAGTTTTCCAAGCTTTTATTAAACCTTATACCTCCCGATTCTGAAGACAGCGCAACAACCACTGCGTCAAGATTGATCAAATTTGGCTTGTATTCAAATCAACTACAAAATATGCAAAATACATACCGGAAAAGCGTAGCTATAAAATTGATAATACAGTAAGTTAAATATTCAGTAGGTTGAAAATTCAGTAGGTCAAAAATACAGTAGATCAAAGATCTACTGTATTTTTGACCTACTGATTGAAAATCAAAAACGTCATAATCTAGGATTTACGAAATTTCAAAAATAGGTTGAGTTATAGTCCACCGCTGTTTGCGGTAAAGATGATGACGTAATTCTGAGAAATGGCGAGAATTACATATGCTATTTTTACATATGACATTATTACATATTACATATACTATGCACTTATTTAGAGAGGCCTTTTGAAAAGTATTGGTTTAATACTTATATACTTATCTAAAGTTTTGTTTAGAAAATATTTACAAATAATATCTATGCATCTAAATATATTGGGGCAATGGTTCATTAATTCAAACATTGATTTAAAAAATTCCTTAAAAATTATTCATAAGTAAAAAAACACGCTAAATTATTTTTAAAGAAATAACAATGTCAAATATAATGAAGAAACAACTGTAGTGATACTAAATTTAACAAATTACCTCTTCTCTTATTGATAAACATATCTTTGTAGAAAGACTTGATTAAGGAAATTCGTAGATTAAAGCTAACACAGCAGCGGCAAAAAAACCCAAGTTTCTCCTGTGGTTAAAACATATAAAATTAAGTGATGCAACGTTCATTATTTAACGACTAATTAAGTATTTAAGGTTTGAAAAACATTGTTAAATTATTATAACTTGTGAATATTTGAGCGTTAGGCATGCGTAGTAGAATATTTTTATTAAAATTTGATGCAATGTTTGGAAAACCATTTAAACTAGGGTTGTTAACCGGAGGATTTCGTGCAATTCCGGAAAAACAACATTCTTTCGTAAGGAGATTGAGAACGAGGAGTTACATTTTTTCGTACCGAATGTTACAAAACATTTAAAATCGCCGATGTTCATTTCGCAAAAGCCACTTCCGAAATTTAGCATTTCGCAAGTTGATATACAAAACAAAACTATTTTGCAACATACGAAAGTAGCGGTTTCGGAAGTCGCACTTGCGAAACAAACATTTTCGCCAAACGACGTTTTGAAGTCTATAAAGAAAATTTGTTTGCCAGACTGATTTTAATTGTAAAAATTAACATCTTTAATTCCCAAAATGTTTATAATGAATTTTTATTTTCAGTATAATAACATATTAAATTTTTATGGTTTCATTTTTAGAAATATTGATAAAAAATAAAATTTCTTTCGAAACGAAAGTATTTCGGATCACAAAATACGAAAGAATTCTTAACTAAATAAACTTACGAAACGTGCCGTAATAAATATATATAACGATGTTTTTTTAACTCATTACGTATATTAAAAATAAGAATGATGGGTAGGAATATACATGTTTTTTTTTTTAATGCATATGAAATTTTTGAAACAGGTTCGAATATGCTTAAGCAAATAGTAAAAAGAGGCTCAAAAATATGCTTTAGCTTAAGCATATTTCTGATAAAATATACCTATTTCAATAATTTCTAAAAGTGTGCACGTTACTAAAGTTCTAGCAGATTTTAAAGGTATGTAGAGTCCTGTTTGAATACGCTTTTCAAAGTATAGATCTTAGAAAATATTGTTTTTTAATTTTAATAAGATATAAATTTAAGTATAAGATTGTATAGTTCAACCAGTTAGATCGTAGAGTTCAATCAGTTACGTGATAATTCGCCGCAGAGATCCGGGTTCGCATCCCGCAGCTATTGTAACTTTTGTTCATCTAACTCTTTTTACTTAAGATAGCATTTTTTGACCTCCATGTTCTATATTACAGATCTTTCGTCACCTTCATAATAGTGACAACCTCTCTTCTGTTAGTTATTCTTTTAAGATTGAGTTCATTGGGCTTAATTCTACACGTTTCCCTTGCTTTACTAAGTTCTACTTAAATTATGATGAAATGTACGTAAAACAACTTTTTCAAATAATATAAATCATTTTGCTTTAAATCTTGTGCTTTTTGTACTAGACATCTGTCCTAAACACTTTGTAATAATTTCTAGCTAACTCTGAGTCTAATATAATCATTTCTGAATATAATTTCCCTGAGGCCCCTACAGCCTATTGTGTTCCATTAAAAGTAACTAGTTTTCGAGTCCAGATATTAATTATAAGCAACTAAAGGTTCGAATTACTAATCATTTTCCTGATATATAGAATCCTATTTGCATACGTACCTCTTTCTGTAAATTCTGTTTTATATAGTTTCTTAATTATATAATAAATAAATATTACTATTCACATAGTTGAATGAACGTATAGCTCATTCAGTTAAGACATTTAGCCGCGGAGACCCAGGTTCACATCCCGCTGTTTCACATATATTTCTTCTCTTTTTACTCTTCCTGATATCATTTACTTTTAGAGAGATCTCTCGTTCTTTATAATAAAGTATTTAATTGTTTATCACACATCCTCTTTATACTTTTTAAAAAGAAAGGCATACTGTTTATCTGTTCATTGAGAGTCCAACTTAACGGGATTTTACTGTATATATATATATATATATATATATATATATATATATATATATATATATATATATATATATATATATATATATATATATATATATATATATATATATATATATATATATATATATATATATATTAGGGTAGGTCGATTTTAGCTTTTTTTTTGAATTTCGAGTTGCGTAATGTTGCAGTTACTGTGTCTAGCTTAGAAATAAGGTTTTGCCAAATATCAGGTGTTCTGGTTTAAAAATGGCTTGCGGATTCACATTTCAAGACTTAATATTGGACTAGCTTTGTTAGATTGTTTATTTCAAACATTGAAATATTTTATTTTAAGTCTAGTAACCTCGTTTTAAAGTATCTCGTTTCGAATTTTTAGAGTAACCAATTAACGATATTTTAAAAAGCGCAATTGTTTTAAGAAGCCAATAAATTTTCGCTAAATCGTTTACACGCTTTTAAATTTCAATTTTGCTAATCGTTAAATGTTGGTTTTAAAATTAAATTTTTTAGTATTTAAGTATTGAAAAGTAAAGTATTTAAAAGGTTCAAATATAAAACTACAAATTAAAGAAATAGTTAAATATCAAAGGTAAATACTTATGATTAATATATTTACAGTAATGTTTTTACCTGATTAATATTACAAAAAATTTTTTTTTTGCACCTTTTAAAATATAAAAGTTTCAGAAAGAACTAATGTTAACTTAATTCATAAATAACTTATACTCTCATGGGCCACGGCGACGGGGGGAAAAGGGGGCTGAGGGGCTATGGCCCCCAGATTTTTTCAAAAGGACCTTTTTTTAAAAACTAGTGGGCTGATGAAATGCGATGAGTTATGACCCATTGTTGTAGAAACTCTTTTGTTTCTCCAGAGGTAAATTGAGGACTACCGTCGGTTGAAATTTCTTCTGGGACTCCAAATGTTGTAAATAGTTTACGTAAGCACGTGATAAGACCTTTTGCACTCATTTCTGATGTTCCTGATTTTATTCTGTAGGCTTCGGTCCATCCAATGACTAGATAATCTCCAATGACTAGATAATCCCAGCCACGGAATTCAAAATAGTCAGCAAATATGCATTCAAATGGTGTCACAGGGATGTGAGGTCGGATGGGTGGTAGTCGTGCATTAGGAGGTGCATTTCTATTACAGCAGCAACAGTTATCGCGCTTACTTTGTATGCTGTGAGTGATACCTGGCCAGAAAACAGTGGCTTGAGCTCTCGCTGTCATTCCCGATACTCCTTGGTGGGCTGAGTGTAGTACGTCCAATATCTCTTTCCGTAGAGTAGGTGGGATTACAATTCTGTCGTTGTATATTATAACCCCGTCGGACACCATCAAGTCATTGCGGTATTCCCAGAACGGTAAAAGATTTGGTATGAAGTTGTTCTTATTTTTTGGGAAACCGTTTTCTATTGCTAACATTAATGCTTTAAAATCGGTATCTTTTTCTGCCTCTGCTTTGACACTATCCCATGTTACTGCAATCATTTTATCTATGTCGTTTCGTATCGAGGCTATTATTAGTGATTCTGTGTTGTCAAAATCGGTATTTTGATTGCAAGTGGCTGAATTATCAGATTCCTTTGTGTTCTCTGCAGGGTAACGAGAAGTAGCATCTGCTGCTAAATTTGTTTTTCCTGGTTGATGTTGGATGGTAAATTTCTATGGCAAAGTTCTCTGTTTTAGTCGGAAAAGTCGTGTGTTGGCAATTTCATCTAAGGTCCTACCTCCTAATAATTTGACTAGTGGTTTATGATCAGTTACTACCATAAGATTATCACAACCTTGTGTGAAATATTTAGTCTGCTCCAGGCACCATGCCACTCCTAGCATTTCGCCCTCAACTGGCGCATATCTTTGTTCAGCAGATGACAGGAATCTGGACCCTGCTAGGGTTATTTTCCATCCGTCTATACAGCAATCTGGGGAGTCCGATTTACATTCACAATGTTTTTGGCTTAGGTAATATCTTATGCCCAATTTTGACCAGTCGCATCTTAAACAGGTCTTCTTGGTAATGTCAAATATTTGGACTCCATCTTTAATTGCGTTGATGATTTTTTCCTTTGACACGTTGAATAAAGTGTTGAGTTCTAAGCAGAACTCTGAATGGGGCCATAGTTTCTCGAAGTTGAGCGTAATGTGATACTCGGGTCACTTAGCCGAACCAAGATCGGATGTCTGTTATTGAGGATGGTGTTGGAAATGATCTAATGGCGTCAATATATTTAGGTAGTGGTTCAACTCCATATTCAGATATTCTGAAACCTGCAAAATCCACTATTCTTTTAGCAAATTGGAATTTTTGTGGGTTCAAAATGATCCCAGCTTTACAAACAAGGTCAAGAAATTCGATTGTCTGCCACCAATGTTTGACTATGTCGTCATCGTAGTGGATGGTGTCACCTACACATCTTTGTTTGCCAATAAAGTCTGCTAAAATTTTGTCGAAACTTCTGTTGTAGCCATCCCCACTAGATACAAAACCTTAAGAAGCTCAGATGTATTTGTAGCGCCCAAAAGGAGTAATGAAGGTGGTAAGATTCCTGTCTTCAACCCGTATCGGGATGCTATGATAACCATTCCATGCGTACAGTTTTCCATGAATTTCTTGGGACTGAACGAGCTAGTTGGAAAGGCGATTTCATTGCATGAGTTTCTCTGTAGCAATACTTGTTTAAAAGAAAATAGATCAACAGTGCGACGAGGCCCACCGTCATGCTTACGTGTAATAACCAATCTATGACACCATGTTGTAGGTTCTCCTAGAGGTACCTTTTCAATAACTCCAAGAGTTTCATCACGAATTAAATCCTTTTCCACCTGGTCTTGCCAATGGATTGATATGGTGGCTGGAGTAAATGCTGCAACTGGTTTGGCATTTTCTTGAAGTAAAATACTTATTAGAGGTTCCTTCATATCAGGTAAAATCTGGTGTGGACATGTGTTGAATGTTGAAGCAGAGTATCTTTCAAGGAGCCACGCTTTCATCCGTTCGTTGTTTTCAGGACAGCAGACAAATGGACGTTCGGTGGGTGCACCTGCTGGGAGACTTCTTTTGGGGTAATTGCACACGTGTGAGCTATTATTTTCACTGGATGTTTTGGTCCCTATAGTTTGAGGGCCTGAGTTAATAGCTCCGTGGAGGGCGCTGCCTATCAATGGAAAGTCCTTAGAGATAATACCCAGTTGGATCATTGCTTCTTTAGATAGGTAGAATCCGTTTGCGTCTGGACTTATGTAAACCATTACTGCACATTCAACTTTGTGGCCATTAGATTGTCGTCCTTCGAGACGTAAAAGAATTGCACGAT